AACAATGTCCCTTTGGGGATCGTCAACACAGTGTCCACATACCTGAAATCCCGTGCACCAAAGTTCAAGCGTGTGATTGTAGCTTTAATGAAAAGATTATACACTCTAGGACATTTCATAAGAATAAGAAAAGGTAGGTGCACACCGGGTGTTTCTCTCGAGAGGTTTTACGAGTTGCGTCGGCGCGTCGTAATCAGGAATGTTGAGCCAGAGGCCGTGTGAAACGGCGGTGGGCATGCCTTCACGGAGGCTAAAAGGGTAGCCACGGACGAAATCGGCACCGTCTCTGAACGGGTCGTAAAGGGTGTTGAAAAAGTAAGGCGTCGACGGGCAGAGAAGATTCTTGATGTGTTGCTCAAGTGCATTTATGTCTTCCCCAGAGGGGTCTTTTGCAACCTGCATGTCAAAAAAACATGCAGATCGTGATTATCAGTTCGGAATAACAATATTAACGAAAATCTCAAGCTTATGATTATAAGTCCAGAAGTGTTTTATACTCAAACGAGATGTACTTACGAAACAATCATCGTCGATGGTGTAGATATACTTCTTCTTGGAGACCATGTAGCCGAAGCAGCGGCAAGCGGAGTCCTTGAAGGAGATGCAAGAAGCGCGCGGGCCCAGAATCTTGTTGATGTCGTTACGGTTGTAGAGCTCGTAGTCAAAACCCGGGGGGACTTTGATGGTCCGGGAAGGGTCACCATCTTGGACGATGATGATATGGTAAGGCTGGAAGAAGGGCCTCCACATCTCGAGGAAGTCGAGGTTTCTTATGGTTGGGATCACTATGTCCAATTCATCTTTGAGAGGAGGGCTTGTTGTTGTGGCCATTATTTTTGGCTACCTCAGTGAAATCAATGACTACTAAAATGTGTGTGTTATATTTGGATTGTTATATATATGTATAGGTATAGGTTGGATTAGTGCATAGATATATGGCTGAGGACTTGTTCAAACCATGCCCAATGCCGCACTTGTTGGGAGGCCTTGAGTTGAATTGCCTAAATTGAAGAGAAAAAACGTTCCGAGTCAATTGCGGATCGGAGTATTACATTTATTGCATGTTTGGATATGTTAATTCATGGATGCATGTCCAATTTTCTAGATATACATATCGGGCTTGTTTGGGAATAGCGTTAGAGATTAGCGTTAGCGTTTTGGATAAAATTTAACGGTGCAGATCGCTTTAAAAACGCTAACGCTAAACGCTGCCCGTAGATAGCTTTTTCAAAACGCTAACGCTAATCGCTAACGCTGTTCCCAAACAGGCACATCATGGGTCTGTTTGGGAATAGCTTTAGCGATTAGCGTTAGCGTTTTGAAAAGTCTATCTACCTACGGACAGCGTTTAACGTTAGTGTTTTCAAAGTAATCTGCAGCGTTAAAATTTAATCTCAATGCTAACACTAATCTCTAACACTCTTACCAAACAGGCCCATAGGCGGCCCATGATAATTAGTTGGTTATATGTGAGGGGAAACTAATATAAAAGCCTAGTTTAGCGTGGTGAGTAGATTTACATATAAACTCTGATCTACTTTAGAGTAGGCAGGAGTAATGTGTGCGTATATGAACGTTTCTTAATTTGACCTTGTTTTTTTGTGATTCAATCGGGTGGTGTTGCCATTGTCTTGTCATAAAGAAAAAAAATAAATGTGAAATTTGTATTAAATAGGACTAAAACATAATGACTTTCCTAATGTAGGACTTAAACTTTTTTATTCCTTAAATAGGACTTAATAATGACCTCGTGAGAGGAATAATGTCTAGTAATGCTAGACATTTACTTGAATAATGACTATTTGTTAATGACCAAAAGTCCTACATTGGGAAATAAAAACATATAGTCCTATATTGGGAAAGTTGTTATGTTTTAGTTTTATTTAAGTAAATTTCTCAAAAAAAATTGCATTAAATAAAATTAAAACATTTGTCTCTTCTTAATGTAACATTTAAAACTTTTTATTCACGTAATAGTAGTTGAACAAAATCTAGCGGCGGTGGACAATTAATACTTTGAACAATATTTAGTAGCGCTAGACATTTATTAGAACGATGTCCAGTGGGGCATTAAACAGTGGTACTACATTGAATTGAAAAATTAAAATACGGAGTATATGATATTACATTGGAAAACTCACTATGTTTTAATTAATACTCCCTCCGTCTCTGTAAAATCTTTCTCTTTTCTTTGTTCATCCGTCCCAAAAAAGTTTCACATTACTTTTACCTCTGCTAATTCTTAACCTACATATCACATCACATCTATTCAATATTAATCTACCCATCAAATCCTACTTTTACCCATCACATCCAAGAATATTTTTGAAAACTCAACACTAAAATACACTTCATTTAAATCTCTTAAAATTTAAAACCTTTCATAATTTTAGGGTCGGAAGGAGTATTATATAGGTAAATTCCCACCTACGTAAAAGCAAAATGATATTAAAAATACTAAAGTTAGAGTAACATTATTTTTATCCCTTAAGTATGAGTTTGAACTTTGACTACGAATATATATGGTACAAAGTGACAATGTGATTACAATATAACATAGTAATGTCATCGATTAATGGTTGCAGTGTCGTGGTGGACTACTACGGTGGTCAACGTGTTGGGATTGTGGAGGCTAGATATTTTTGGACTTGACTTGATCTCCCGTCTTATTTTTAGCCCGTTCATTTCTTGTTTTTTGGGGAACAAGTCTCATAACCCTAGATTTCTTTCCATATATATGTATCATGTACTTGTAAATCTGTATACACGGTAAATAAAATTCCTCATGTTGCAGCCGTAGATTAGGAAAACCGAATCACGTTAAATTCTAGCTTGTGTTTCGTTTGTGTTCCGTTCTCTCTTGATTTGCGCAGATACTTGTGTGTGTTGTGTGTTTAATTCCCACACAACACTATTGATTGGCAATATGGTTGCGAAGTTCCCCATTATATTCCATTTCTATACGTTGAATGTCTTTTAATTATATTGGGGCTTATTAATTAGCATGCATGTTCTTATTGGCTTCACCAATGGAATGTAGCATTGAGTAGGGGATTTATGTTGTTGGTTGGGTAAATTCACTCGTAGGGTTACAATGTGGAACATAACGTTCGTACATTATTAATGTATCTAGCGTATAATTAAAATGTTGCACGTACCCTAAAATATTTATTGTCGTCACCGGCAAAGCGTGAACTTAACGGAGCACTATATCATGTGTGTGGTTTATTTATGTTGTACTGTTTATTTGTTCGTTTCCGTTTGGTTTGCTACAAGGATCATTTGGGTTGGGTTGGGCTGGGTTGGGCTGGGTCACGATTATTGGATGGCCGAGAAGGGAATAATATTATAATCTTCGAAAAGGCCTGCAGATAACACTCATCCTGACATTATTGAAACTTTTTCCTTAACCTATTGGCTTGGCTTTTTTTTCATTATATAAATCTATAACAATAATAACAAATGTAACTTTATAAATGAATGAATGAAACACAAAATTTTATGTTCTTTAAAATTATAATTTTTATGTGATAAGTACTCCGTTTAACAAGTTCATTATGGTTACATTTCGTTATTTTTTTATTATTTATGAACCTTTTTTTGTATGTGAGATTTATTACTCCGCAGTATATTTAATCAAAATAACAATATCTAATCGCTTTCTGTTTTTCATTATTGTAGGTTTGTTATGCATATGTTGTGTTGACACAATGCACTGTGTCAAATTTTAGCTAAATACTTTATAAGCTTATTTTCGTTACTTTTTTGATAAAAAAATATAGCCATGTCATATCTAGTTTCATACTCCATCCGTTCTCAAAAACACTTTCTCTTTCATTTTTTTTACTTTCAACAAAACACTTCCACTTTCTATTAAAAAACCACTTTTACCCTTACTTTTTCATACCCTACCTATCACATCATACTAAGTAAAAAGTAGGGACAAAACTGGAAACCAACAACAAAATTACACATGTTTTAAATCCCATTTTTTTAAGTGGAAATTTTTTATGGGACGGAGGCAGTATTAAGTGTACGTTAGTAAAATTATATTCCGTATTTGTTAACTTACAAAAGCTATTATTTATATTAACCCGAGTTTCAGTAATCATCAGTCTGATCTTACAAAAATTACGTACTGTTGAATTCTCTTATCCCAGATCGTCTAAACATGCCAACATTATGTTATACTTAATAGCTTGAGCTCCTCAACTTCGAGTAAACTTTGGGGTTGAATTGAGCCCAAGTTTATTATTTCACAAGTACCGAATTTTATAATTCAAACTTCAAATACTGCCCAACTTAAAAACTTTGAATTACAAATAAGAGGAAGAGTAGAATCAGTTGGTTGTCTAATTCAGAGTATAGCTCATATTTAAGGACCGATGGTGAAATGTCATCCAAGTACTTGAAAATGAGTTATTATTCACATGTTCAAAAGGCTAACATGTCATCTGTATAGATAGATAAATACATAGATACATCATGCTGATTTTTTTTTTGATTTGTTTATTAAATATGCGTTGAGAAAACGTTCTACCACTTGTACAGTATTCCTATAATTAGAGAGTAAACAATAAATGAAGTCACTGGGAAGTAGCTAGGAACTCTGTTTTAAGAGAACAACTATTATTATTATTATTATTATTATTATTATTATTATTATTATTATAAACATTATTATTATTATTCCTTACAAGATTAATGTAGGATAAACAGTGCATATATTGCCATTACAGGAGCTAGCTTTGAAGATAGAAAGTAGCTAAATAAACATGCCAATTCAAAGAGATCTAATTATTTCCTCTGCAAAAAAATGGGTTATACTCTGATCTGATCATAATTCACATACATATTTATGTGTTAGATAGATAAATAGGGGACCTCAACTTTGTACATCCATTGCGCTCTTCTTCATTCCATATATTCACATTCTTCTTCTTCTTCTTCTTCACTATGTACTATACATATATATATATATATATATATATATATATATATATATATATATATATATATTGAATATATATTATTTGCAGGCTGAAACCCTGATGTGCAGTCCATTGGGTGCTTCAACTCTTGGAAACTTCATCAGCTTATCTCCTCCCACTTCTTCCCATCTGCTAGTTTCAAAGTTCAAGGGCCAATTTGTCATTTTAACATTCTTTTTTCTCCCATTAAATTTGAGATATTTTAGAGAGCAGACAACTAAATCCGGACAAAACGAGTATACATAAGTAATTTTGTGTTTGTTTTTTTACCTGTATCTGGTTACAAAATAGTGAAGAAATGTTGAGATTTCAGCAATGCCAAGCTCCTTTCCAGGACACTGCCTAGTCCCTCCTCCAAAGATCAAGAAGTGATTTTGGTTGTCTGTGCTCTTGTCCTGCATTTATTTATTCATTCATTTCATTAAAAACCCAATTTTTATTTTATATTTTTTTACAAATTAAACAAATTTTACATTTGGGGTGGGGTAATAATCATGTTTACTGACCAGCCATCTCCATGGATTGAAAGTATGTGGATCAGGATACAGTTCAGGGTCATAATTGACCTCTCTTGTGTACACATATATCCTCCATCCTTTGGGTATCACATAACCTGCACCCACACAGCAATACAAGTGGATATGGTGAGGCCATGTAGGTGTGTATAATACATGTGCGATATTACAATGTCAACAACAAACTCAGTAAAATCCGACAAGTCGTGTATAGTACATATACATACATATTATGCATAATTCGACGATGATCATCGGGTTTACTAGGTAATTAGACGGACTAATCTTGAGGTTCGTGTGGTTTCGGTTTTAGTGAGATTGAATGATTAAGGAACAAGAATTAGTTAGACAGGAAGGCAAAACACATGAAGTGCACTGTGTGCTGGAATGGTAGGTGAAGCCATGTGAGTTCAAGATAGGAGAGGGTCCATTGTTGGGAATGAAGCTAAGTTTATCTCTTTTCACTCATCAGATTCTCTTTGCTATGTTGGCTTCATATTTGTGTGTATATTTGAGAAACAATTCAACCAAATGCCTATTCCCACATCAGCCTCAATTATAAATGCAACCCGACGTCCCCCGTTATATTTTATTTTCCAGTCAATAATAGAAGCTGACTAATAAACAAACACTACCATAATTAATACGGAGTACTATTATTATTGTCTAACACTCACCATTAAGTTCTATATCTTGAGTTGTTTTCCTCAAGACTCCATTCACTATTGTGGCTAGTCTCGACGTCTCAAAGATCACCTGCATCCCACAAAATCACGCACATTAATTCCATTTTTTTTGAAATTCGGAGGGTAATGCGTGCACAGACTTTATCCCTACTTGAAAGTAGGATTGTTTCCAAGAATTTGATAAAACTATCAAATGGTAAACAGTTTGGATGAAAAATCTTGTGAACACAAATAAACTTACCGCGCGTGTGAATCGCATCGATTTGAAGTCATTGTAATCGATCGGATCGCTCGGGCCTTTCTTCTCCCTAATTGCAGTGTGTTCTTTCTGTGTGTCATCAACCAAAACAGTTAAGAACCAACAACACCACCAAAAAATTTGAACTTGAACAAAAAATGCATCAATAATGATGAGACTTACTCTTAGCTCATCAAGAACATGTGGGTGATCACTTAAATACTTGACAGCCATCATGGAGGTAGTAGAAACAGTCTCGTATCCGGAGTACAAAAGCGTTATGATCAAGTCGATCATCTCATCATCACTGAGCATGTACCGGTTCTGTTCTTCGTTCATCAAGAACCCGAGCATGTCTTCTTGCTTTTCCCCAGACTCTCTTCTCTGCTCTATGAGTTTCCTCAGCACCCTCACAATGTTCTTCCTTGCCTGCAACCCGTGCTGGTAGTTTGTGTTTGGGAGGTTGATGGGAAGCGAGAGTGTCCCCAATACAAGCTTAAAGAATTCCGGCATAAACTCTGCTGCTATGGAGGTTGATTCAATCCCAGCAATTTGCTTCAATGATGATAGAAATGCCATCTGCAAATTATTATTTTTTCATTAAAAAAGAATTGGTCAAAATCATGGAGTGTTCATTTAAAAGAATCCCAACTCCAAACACACAAGGATAGTTGGGATTCAATCCCAAAACCAATTGACTATAAGACTGGCACTTCCAAAGTGGGCACAATCAATGTGGGATATTTAAGGCTACTAACCAACTGCAACAAACTAACCTTGTTTGTTTGTTCTTGGATGTCAATGACTTTGCCATCCCAAGAGCTAACATGGGATCTCATGAAGTCATCAATTTTAGGCAAGAGGTGGGATTTGATCATGGAAGTGCTGATGAGGGACAATAATGCCCCTCTCATGTGCTTGTGAGCAGAGCCATGAACAGCTGCAATGTTGCACTTCCCAAGAATGTCAAGCATGGACTGAGGGTAGCCCGGCACGAGCCCTTTCCCCTCGTTCACCAGGATGTATCGGTTCACCTCTGGATCCATCGAAACCACCGTCGGGCACCCGAGTATGTGTGACTTAAAGAAACTCCCATATCTGATAATTCATTCACATTCATCAAACACAAATAACTAATCAAATTCACACCCATCAAACACAAATAACTGATCAATTTACTTCAAATCCCAGAATTGTTCTACTGCCAAAGGGAGCCTAAGTTATCCAGAAGCTCCGTTCGGCAAGTCAAGAGCTATTTAGGAGCCATTTGGCTAGGGTTATTGCCTTAAAATTAGCATTACAAAACAGTTATTTTAACCAAAATTAGTCAAAAATTACTTATTCTGTTCTAGCAGAAAGGATCATTCTTGGTGTGCATATGTCAAAGAAGGGATTCCCACACAAGATTTGACATTTTCCCAGACACATGATGATTATTAATAAGGCAAATTGGGTTTCTGCTGAGGAAAATAAAGCAATACCCTATACGCTAAACAAAGTTAAACCTAATTTTGAGACAAAGGGAGGGAGCACATAAAAGAAGCAGGAGGTTAGAGTGACAAAAATGACCTCCTTCTCTGGTTCTTCATAAAGATGGGGCCTTGTTTCAAGAAATCAGTGGTTTCACCAAAGAGTGGCCAGCCCATGGTGCCAGGGGGGAGCCCTTTCTTCTTGAACCTGAACTCATTCCATTTCAAAAGAGCGCTGCTGAGGATGCAGAGCACAAAGACGGCAAAGAAGACATCCATTAATGGCTGCCGAAGGAAGAAGCTTCAAGTTCTGACAGAGGGGTAAGATGGGGAGAATGGAGGGGGGGCTTTCTTTCTGCTCTATTGAGTCATCAAGATACAAGCGTGTGCGCCTGTTTATATAGAGNCCGTGCGTGCGTGCGTACAGACTGCAGGGGTGGGGGTGGGGGGTGGGTAGGGTGGAGCCTAATAAGCCAATTTATGCAATAGGGATAGGGGCAATATCACAAGTTTTTTTACGGAATACTTTTAAGGCCTATAAATATAGGTCTCCAAAAGGTTCACATTTTCCCAAAAATAAAAATATAAAAAAAGAGAGCTATGATTCCAAAATATATCATACTCTCTCCGTTCCAAAAAATCTTTCCTATTTATTATTACAACCTCTCGATATCTCCAATTTGTTTGCGTGTTTTCATTGATAATTTGATAAAATAAAATATTCTTGTCGCCTCTTATTTTGTAGAGTTTTTCATGTAGTTTTTAAATATAATTTTTTTATGTATTATTTCCATACCAATTTTCAAATAAAATCATTTTAAAATCTACGGGGTTTTGCACGTTAATCAAAACAGGAAATTCTTTCTGGGACGGAGGGAGTATAACCCAAAATATGTGATAATTTAAAAAAGAGACCTATGATACTTTATAAGTCTCCAAAAGATTCATAATTTTTGTTTGGACCATGCTACACTTACACCAAAAAATGTACCCTACTTGTACACCACAGTTTTGCACAAACATTTTGATGTTTTACACCGACACAAGTGTTGGTGCGTTAACAAAAATGTACACGGACACAAATGTTGGTACGTTAACAAAAATTAGTTTTACACCAACACAAAATGTTAGTGCAAACGTACGGGTACAAATTGGGGTATAAATGTTAGGGTACATATAGCTTAATCCTTTTTGTTTTTCCCAAAATATATACAAACAAAAATCCAGGATCAAATATTTTAAAGAAATAGACTACGACTGGTATCCCTAATAAAAATCTAGATTGTTCTAACTCATCTCTCCCCAATATGTGGCTCATAGTTTTTATAAAGTTTATAGTTACAATTTTTGACATATGTTGTAACATTTTTTCATGTTTTCTTATTATTTTGGTTTTTCTAAGACATTCTAAATAAATATATCATTTTTCATTACTTTGCAAGTAAAAGTGGGTTCTCTCACCCTTATGTATTTTATATTTTTATATCTAATTTTGAACAATGACAAAGTAGGATAATCCAAATCCGTTCTGTTTTATCCCGCTTCTGAATATTAAGGGACAAATAGGGATAAAATTGTGACTCGAACCATTCATTCCCAACCATTTTAAAAAAATGGAACAAAGTACAGGACAATAGGGAGAGTTTAGGAAAAAACGGAACAAAATTCGGAAGGAGATTATACAGGGACGGGTGAGAGTGGCACCTGTAGAGGATAAGTTGAGCAATGTTATGTTGAGCTGGTTTAGGCACGTGAAGCAACAACTGATGCCCCAATGCAGAGATGTACGTGTTACATAGAGTTTTGGCTGGTGGTAGTTTTTGCACCTGTCCTTGTGTGGAGCTCTCACTTCTTTGTGTCTTTCTCTTTACCTTGCTTAAACTTATTATGTGCTTCTTTTGACGTGCTATGTGTATTTTGTGCTTCTTTTGACGTGCTATGTGTATTTTGTGCTTTCTTTGAGGTGCTCTATGTTTTCTCGTGCGTTATATGTTACTACATAAAAAAAATAAAAATTATTTGTGTCCCATAAACAATTATGGCAAAATCTTTTGTGGCTAACTTAGTTTTTGGACCTTAAAAAATATTTATGTGGCTCCTGTGTCCACACTTAGTTTATAAACCTTAAATACTGTTAAAAAATTGGCTTTTTTCAAAAAAAAAATGTAAAATTAAAAAGTGTGATAAAATCCACATTTACATGTAGATCTTAAGACCACAAAGACACATCTCCATAAATAAATATTTTAGAGACACTAAAAGTACTTCCTTCACCGTTAAAGGCATGTCACTTTGTACTACTCTAAAATCATGGTATTTTTGGTTATTTGTGTACTTTTATTGATTATATGATAAAATAAAATATTTTTGTTACCTAGAGTCATAAAATTTTGATATAGTTTTTAAATATACAATTTTTATTTTTTTATTTCTATATCAATCTTCAAATAAAAATAAATTAAAAAATCATAGAGCTAGCTAGTTTTACTTTCTTATGTGCAAATAAAGTGCAATTCATTTAGAAGTGCAAAACTAAATAATACTCTGTAAAAAAAGTGCAAGAAGTCAAGGAAATGTTAATGATGGGCGAGAGGGCAAGGGATGGTGTGTGGGGATATGGATGGTGACAACAAACCACCGGAAAGTGAAGTACAAAATGAGTTCCCCCTCTAAACAAAGAGGAATGCAACTCCAATGATTTGTGTTATCGAAAATAATTTCTAAAAAACCACCATCTCATGTCCATTTGCCTCAAAATACAAGATCAAAATTCATTTGTACAGATTAGAATCAATTAGATTGGAGAGATTCAGATCGAAAAGATTGACCTGAATAGATCGGTATCAAACCGAGAAAGAGTGGAACCAAAGTAGTGTTTAGGACTAGTCTAATCTCGGACCCCTAGTCTCATTTGGTCCTCTTAATTGTGGGAAAGACTAGTCATGTCCCGGACTGAAGATCATTTCTAAAAAGACTAAATCGGGATCGGACTAAGACGAATTCAAATGTATAAGTTTATGCTCAAAAAAATTTGTTTGTTGTATTTAACATCTATCTTAGAAAAATATATTTATGTCGCATAAATACTTTATAATCTCAACAGTGTGTAGAAATTGAAGAAATTAGATTAAAAGAAACTACTCCATCCGTTCCTAAAAGATTGTCATAGTTTGAATTTTTTGATCAAATTGTGACACTATTTGACCACAAATTAAATATAGTTTAAAATAATTAAATATTATAGAAATTTGATATTTCAAAACTATATTTTGAAATAAACCTAATTTTACTAAATTTACATTATAACTAAATATATTTTTTCTATATTTCGCGGCTAAATGGTCAAACTGTGGCAATGTTTTAAGGATAGATGAAGTAATAAATACGGAGTATGTTTTTTGGTTTTCTAAAAAACTAAAATTTAACATTTAGAAATCATATAAAATAGAGAATAGACCAACGATCCTACAGAGACTACCTGGTCCAAAAAAGCCTCTATTTTTTAACAAAGACCATACTAGTCCGATTCAATGTTAAAAATGATCGGACCAATCTCGTCCTAAATAGTACTGGTCTTTTTAAAAGACCATTCCAATCCGATAGGTGTTGATCATCTCTAAATTATTCACCAGTACAATATGTTTCAAAAATGACAAGAATGTACACACACACTTGCAAATTGTACTAATACAATCTTGCGTTTTAAAAGTGGATGCCAACGAAAACTCGCACATAAAGGGTGTGCAAAACAAAATAAAATAAATAAAAAGAAAGCAATATAAATCCTTTCGGATAGAATCTAGCAATAATATTTTTTTTTTGTGGGCAAGCAGAAATTAAATTAAACGAGATATTTGAATCGTGATTACTATTAAAAATGAATATTATTTCTAGGGGAAAAAATCCTAGAAATCAAGAAAAGCAAGAACAGAAATGGGAGGCACAACATGTGAATAAAAGTGGGGAAGAGATATATATATATATTTAGTCCTCCGTATTCCGTAATTTGGTTCTGTCTGTACTGTAAATTTGGGAATAATATTTCTGCATTTTCCTCGAAGCCCCCTGTCAGTTTGTTTATTTCCTTATACCTCCTCCTCAGTCCTCACCCTTTTGAGTTCCCAGCACAGATGCTACCCTTTTGATTTATTTATTTTTAATGGAGTAATTTTTATTTTATGATAAATATGCACTAATACTATGTATCGTAATTTCTAATATACGACCTTTTAAACATGGAGGAAGATAATTTTTTGTTATCCAAATTTTGTTTTCTTACACATTTTTGGGGAGGGTTTTCTTTTTTTTTCATAACGTAGTGGTGTAACTGTTATTCATTGAATTAAAATAATAAATTTCTCCTCGAAGTTATTTAAGATTAATAAAATACTAGTATCACACTCGTGTGTTGCACAAGTCATTTTTATGTCATTAAATTAAGATTATTTTTTAATGCTAAAAATGAGATGTGATAGAATATAGAGATTATAAACTTACCTTAGAAAAATATATTACTTCTATAAACTTACAAGTATGTCATAAGAAACAGATATATACGAGTATACTAGTGTTAACCACGTGCTTCGCACGTGCTCGTATATATTCTAAATTTTTGAGATTCTATAAATATAATTTTAGTTTTTTTAGTTGTTTAATAGTGGCGAGATATATTTCATATTTTAAACTGATGGAATATATATTGGTATGTTAATTTAAAAACAAACAAATTATTCAAAATTAATGGTTAATGAATTAAGTACTAATAAAAATATTTTTAATTAATAAATTATTTTAATAAAAAGTGGATTAATTACATAATGATACATAATCATACAATGTATATGTGTCATGATGCCACTTGTCAGTTGTCACCCTTCAATTATACCAATTTTATTCCATTTACTTTGTTAAAAAATACTCCGTATATGTAGCAATAAATTAAATAATGTAATAAGATAAAATTTTTGAAACAAAGTATTTAATTAATAAATATGCATGTGATTAAATTTATATAATCATTTTTTGAAAAGTAATAAACTAAATAAGTTGTGGATAGTATACAAATAATTATATATATATATATATATATATATATATATATATATATATATATATAATGGGTCGGAGTATATTTTACAATGGTAAAAAATATACTCATAGAATTATTAAAAAATGAAAAAGTTTTATACAAATATATTCAGGGTCTGTTTGGTATACGGAATTGATGGAATTAGAATTGAATTGGAATTGGAATTGAAATTCCATGAGATTCAATTCCATGGAATTGGATTCTGCCAATTCCAATTCATTTCTTGCACTATCAATTCCAAATCCACATAACTTTTGTGCTACCAA